TTCAATCCGATCGAGTGTTTACATGCGCTCTCAATCATATTAGAAAAGGAATAAACCACCCCCTTCAATCCGATCGAGTGTTTACATGCGCTCTCAATCATATTAGAAAAGGAATAAACCACCCCCTTCAATCCGATCGAGTGTTTACATGCGCTCTCAATCATATTAGAAAAGGGATAAACCACCCCCTTCAATCCGATCGATTAAGGTATTTACGTGAAGGTTTTTTTAGTCCGATTGAGCCGTCAGTCCTATTACAAATGGATTATTTGGTTGCATGTAAACGTACATACTGGTAACAAATTGCAAACTTTTATAATGCATCTATGGTTCAGATAACAACTGTTCTCCCATATTTTGACGTATATTTGAGTGAAACGGCTTATCGAAAAAACTTAATATACACTTGATTCTAGCACTAAATTGGTTGCTGATTGGATGACGGTAGAAATCTAAGCATGGACGATTTGTTCACAATTAGATCAATAATATACATTTAATAATAATAATAATAATAATTCATTACATTTATATAGCGCTTTTCTAGGCACTCAAAGCGCTCCAGCCTGAAATTGTGTCCCAGTCCGGCCCTGCCCTAGTTCAGGTCTGGTTTTAAGGGGATGATAGTGAAAGCAAAAGCTAAAGAAAGCAAGAGCACCCGCAGCTGAAGCTGTAATAAACAGATTTGGCAAACTATCTAGTGCACATTTGTGTTTGCGCTCCGGAGAGCGTAACAGGTTTCCATTTACATTTTTACAGCGTTCAGCAATGTAGCTAATCACATACATACCTGTTGATTTATTGAACGCAATGACCAATCAGAGGCATTAAAGTTAGAACCCATTCAACGCTTAAAACGCTGGAGTTTTTGTCCAGTGCTCAGTTCTGCAAGCTCGAGAACCATCTTATTATAACGATGTAAATAAAAGATTAATTGTGCAGTACAGAGAGATTCATTGATTATAACGGAACTTTGTGAGATCGCAATCAACTAAGATGAATGACAGGTTTTAGGGAGCTCTCTTTGCACGCTTTATGTAGGCTATATGTAATTTATGTTATCCATATAGGCCTATTTGTATAAAACTTTTGTTTTTCACACTACACGCTGGAAAATCCTCTTGCAGGAGATGATTCCCTTCCTAAATTATAACATTAGCTATATGTTTTACATGTATAAATTATGCTGTTTGAGAAAAATGTATAAATATAAATTATTTTTTATTAAATTATTGTCTTTTAAATTTCCACTGTGCTAAAGCCAAAGCAAATTTAAGAAAATATTATCTGGAAATATTTATTTCATGAATTCATATCCAAGTTATTTTTTCTACCCAGTTGCATAAAATAAAACATTAAATTCAGATTTATCTGTAAAACATTTTTCACAATGAATACAATTCCAAAGCAACTTGAAATTATATATAGAACTGTAATGTGGTCAACAGACCTGGAACAACCTGGAAGTCATGCAGTAGACCATATCTGTCAACCAATTTTAGAGTGCACTGCATTAATATTAATAAATTACTATATAAATTAAACTTTTAGGGGGGGGTAATAGGGTAATATTACTGGGTAATAATAAACCACTTTTTTCTTTAGAACTACACCACTGGTGGGTGGGTGGGTTGGTGGAGACCATAACTCGCCGTGTAGTGTACCTGCTTTGGCTAGGGCATCCGTTTGGTCGAATATTACTGGGTAATAGTTAACCACTTTTTTCTTTGGGACTACACCACTGGCCAGAACGCCCACCACACACCAGCTTATTGGTGGAGAGGTGACAGAGTGATGAAGCCAATCAGCAGATATGGGAATTGTTAGGAGGCCATGATGGTTAGAGGCCAATGGGCAAATTTGGCCAGGATGCCGAGGTCACACCTCTACCCTTTTCGAAAGACATCCTGGGATTTTTAATGACCACAGAGAGTCAGGACCTCGGTTTAACATCTCAGCCGAAGGACGGTGCTTGTTGACAGTATAGTGTCCCCATCACTACACTGGGGCGTTAGGACCCACACAGACCACAGGGTGAGCACCCCCTGCTGGCCTCACTAACACCTCTTCCAGCAGCAACCTAGTTTTCCCAGGAGGTCTCCCATCCAGGTACTGACCAGGCTCAGCCCTGCTTAGCTTCAGTGGGCAACCAGTCTTGGGCTACAGGGTGATACGGCTGCCTACAAAATGGCTGCCTAATAAAAATGAAAAAGTTTGACAGATGAAACAATCACCATTCACATAGATCCATGAAAACAAATAAAAACACTGTATTATCCATGCCAGGCAAGTAGTTGGCTATGGCTCTTTGTAAAGAAACTAGACATGCCTGCACAAATACCTAGAGACACGTAATATGCATAACATCACCTTTTTCACAAATGTTGCTTTTTATAGTTCACACAGATACGATAACAGTGTCGTTTTCAAAAACTTGCACTTTGAAACCCATTTTTAAAAGTTTGCATTTTCTGGCTCTGAAAACATAGTTGTTTAAATGAACAGCCAAAACCCATATTTTCTGTTTTTAGTTGAAAAAAGTATTGTGCAAACGCCCCCTGAGACTATTCAAATAATGAATAACTAAGCAAAATAAATACATTTAAAATAGTAATTTTTAGTAAAACTTCAATTGGTACCAATGACTAATGGAAATGATAAAACAGCTTGCCATACATCCCTGGCATGTTGAGGTCTCATTTTGTGGGCATATTTCTGCCTTCACCATGCTGTTTTTTTGTTTTAGTTTAATCTGGTATTAAAAAGATCCGATCAATGTTGTTAATCTATTATGATCTTATAAATCTGAGTGGATATTTAGCTCCAAAATCCTTGAAGCCAAAATCCATCATATATGCAAATGGTCAACTACAGAACATCCCTCATGGTCCTCAAAAGCCTTTAATATCCTATATATTAGTTTGACGTTACACTCAAAAAGCTTTTCAGTTTTGCACCAGGCATGCTTTGCAAATTCAAAGAAGAGGACACGACTCTTGTTTAATTGTTTGTTCCGTTTATAAATACCATTTTGATATCATAATCTCTATAATCTTTCTCAACTTGCAACTCTTGAGATGGAGCGAGTGAAGACAGTAATCGGGCATGGATCACAAAGGAAAATAAACCTTGTAAGGCTGAATGACTCGTACATGAGCGAGCAGTCCAACTGGAGAGTATGTGCTTGAACAAGTGTAGATTTTAAACTACTACAGCAAACACAGCAATGCCGTCTGTGCCACAAAAAAAAAAAAAA